CAAAACAGAAGAGCAGCTTTTCACTGGTACCTCCAGAAGCTCCCACTGAGTAGAACACAGTAAGTTATCGGGCAGTAGGACCCATCTAGAGTTTTGTCATCACATATTAATTCAACAGAATTTAGGTGACAGAGAAAAAGCCTTGGAAGGAACCAGAAATGTGATTCCCAAATATTTTGAGGATGTGTAGCAGTACTTTCTATCTTCCTCCTGAAACTATAATTTACCCAAATCTGTAAGCAGTCTACCTATCAGGCACAACCTGCTAAGCCAAACAGCCACCAAATCTTTATTTCTTAAGCAAGACCACATTTAACAAGATACAAGTCATAAAGATGCCACTATGGAGAGGAGATTTTCATATGTAGGTACCCTGCTTCAAATAATTCCAAAACACAGTTTAGGGGAGTGTACTGAGGGTGTTGTTGGGTGGTTGGTTTGTTTTAACTTTACTCAGTGGTAGAGAACAATGACTGAAGTTAACTGATTTGTTCAGTATCTACATGGAGTCACAGGAAATTACAGACTTCGAAGGTCTCTTCTTTTTTATGATAAAATTCTATCCATTATTTACCTCTTGGTACTATTTTCAATAAAAAACTTCATTCCACTAAGAATTAGTTCTCTATTAGCCCCTCACCCTCCAAAAAAGAAAAAAAACCCACAAAGTGCCATAATGAACTGACAGAGAGAAAATAAGCTTTCACATGCCTTAAATCTAATCCGAAGAAATTAAACACAAAGTAGTTTTCAATCCTGAATACCTATTCAAGATGTAGTTCTGGGATGAGATGGGAATGAAGGATGTCAATTCCTTTTGTTTTAAACTCTAGGGTTCAGCTAGGAGCTCCTTACCAAGCTGGAGTCTAAATACAGCAATTAACAAGCAAGCATTTTAACATTCCAGAAAGATTAAGACAGATTCTAATGGTTTTGCTGATCTGTGTCCAGTTCTGCATACCACTTTAAAAAAGACTACTTTAATGATGAAAACAGGACACTGAACACCAACTTTGCTCAGCATTTATAATCACTACCACCTCATTTTTTTTTTTATCAATGAATCTAACAGTAACTCAGAAATAAAAGTTTTAGTTACATACAAAATCATGTTGTATTCAAGCAAATTTTTTTTCTGGAATCAAAAGCATGCTTAGAGTTATTTTAGAGTTAAAATATTTCAATTGATACTCCTGGGACTAGAGCTCTATTACATTTAAAACAAAACAACTCAACAGACAATTTACTGTTTGCTCACAAATGACATAACCTTAGGAGGCACAGAAAATAAGACTACTTTTGTCCAGCATCTTACTGAAAATTGTAAAGGCATTAGTAGATCCAGGATAGTGCCTGACAGATGATTTTATTAAGCTTTTGATTCCTAGTGAGCTGCAAAATTTTGCCATGAACAAATATTTGTATAAACATATTTAATGGCTTAGAATGTTCTTTGAAGGCTCATATTTCAAAATATTACTTTTTGTTCATTTACAACCTTTAAAAATCACAAAAGCTATTTACACAGAAGAACACTAAATGGCTAGGATTCCTCTAGTTCCAAAAATAGTTTATGTAAAATGACTGGAAGCATATAAAAACCTTCACAGCATATAGGTTTCAAATATATATATAAAATAATAAAAACATGAAACAGACAGTAAACAAAAAGAGTGTTCAAGCTTTACTCCCTAACCTGACCATATAAGGAGTATATTTAATAGTAAGAGCATCACAACTGACGTTGCCATGTGACAAAATGCAAAAAAACTGGCTTGACATACAGAAAACCAGCAGAATTCTTTTATGCATCTACAAACATTTTACTTCTGACATAAATTCCCTCACATTCACGGTATAAAGACTATTCCAGCAGTGTCTCCTTGCGCTGGATGCTCAAGATGAAGGAAAAAGTATCACATGTGCTCAACCACGCCTTGCTTCCTTCATCACTACAGTACTGAGCCCTGGAAAAGGATACAGACTTGTGGAGATCACAGAGATAACATCCCTGAAAGTAACATCCCCTCTTGCCAAATAAAGCTTTTTCTGCAGTCTACACACAGGGGCTCAGAATCAATAGCTGAATATGAAAAAGGAGAGTGCTTAATGCACATTTCAGTAAAGAATACTGCAAGTTTTGCCTCAAAAAGCACCTCTTGAGACTTCTATGAGGAAATGAAGTGAGTTTTCCAAATAGTAGACGTATAAACAGCCCCCAAGAAAATTATAGCAACTGTCAGTGTTCATGACTCTAACCTTAAACTACAGGTGAAATCTTGAACACCTTCATAGTCACTGAATTGAGATATTTATCCTTCGGTCTGTGACCAGATCCAGTGGAAACCTGAAGTGCTAAGATCTATGCAGCTCAAATATTAATATACTAAAGGCAGCTAAGCTTTTAAGTTCAGTTTGTTCTTGATTTGGGTGTGTTTTACAGAAAAGATCAGCCAATGAATCATCCAATTAAAATGAAAATCAGATTACTTTTGGTAAAAGCTTGGGACACGCTCTAAGGATGACCTTATGCTTCCAAAATATAACATGATAAAGTCCAGACACAATTAGGTTTTTGCTGTCCTCTGGGCTGATGTGATTACCATAAAAAAAGACCTCCTGTTCCCACTGACAATAGAAGCTGTTAGTCAGTAAATCCACAAAGACAAAGGTCCACGGAGGCCCCCAAAGAGTAGAAGTCCACAGAAGTTGAAGGAGGGGTTGGGGGCAGTGGGGAGGAGACAGAATGAGAACTTCCAGTTTTGAACTGGGAACTATTTTAACAGGCAGACAATGAACAGTTACAGATACCTATAATTTAATTTTCATTTTAGAAGAGGAAAATGACATAGTTTGTGCTGAATAATAAATCTTTTACGTTTTGCTGTGTACTTTAATTAGGAAGGATCGTTCCTGAAGCATAATAAATGATTAGAGCAGGATAGGTTCTGTGATGGGTTTATGCCAATAATCCAGTCAGCATTAAAACTAAGATTAATTAGGTTAGATCCAAACATAGGTTATTCTGGTCATTCTAGGCTGAATCTGAAGAGGGACTTCTGAAAGGAAGAAGACAAATGCATGAGAGGAAAGTCCTGCTTATCAAACCTGGGTAACCCAACTAGTTGATCAAGAGAAGCCAGTTGATGGAATCTTTTTGGATTTCAGTAAAGCTTTCAGGATCCTTCTGGACAAAATGTCCAGCTCACAGCTGGATAAACACATCAGGTGGTGGTGGAGCAGTTGGCTCACAGGTTGAGCACAGAGGGTAACAGTGAATGGGGAAACACCAGACTGGTGACCTGTCACTAGTGGGGTTCTGCAGAGCTCCATCTCAGGCCCTGAGCTCCTCAACATCCTCATAAATGACTTGGACGCAGGACTGGAAGGGACACTGAGCAAGTTTGCACATGACACAGAACTGGGAGGAGCTGTTGACTCCCTGGCAGGCAGAGAGGCCCTCAGAGAGACCTGGACAAATGAGAGGGCTGGGCAATCAGCAACTGTGTGAAGTTCAACAAGGGAAAGTGCCAAATTCTGCACCTGGGATGGGGCAACCCTGGATGTACAGACAGACTGGGGAAAGAGATGCTGGAAAGCGCCAGGAAAGGGACTTGGGGGTCCTGGTCAAAGGCAAGTTGAAGATGAGCCAGCAGTGCCCTGGCAGCCAGGAGGGCCAACCGTGTCCTGGGGGCATCAGGCAAAGCATCGCCAGCCAGGCAAGGGAGGGGATTGTCCTGCTCTGCTCTGACCTGGCCTTGAGGGGAAGCCATGTGAGGAGCAGCTGAGGGCACTTGGTGTGTTCAGCCTGGAGGAGACTGAGGGGAGACATCACTGCAGTTACAGCTTCCTGAGGGGAAGAGGAGGGGCAGACATTGATCTCTGTGGTGACCAGTGACAGGACCCTGAAGTCGTGTCAGGGGAGGTTTAGGTTGGATAACAGGAAAAAGTTCTTCACTCAGAGGGTGGTTGGGCACTGAACAGGCTCCCCAGGGCAGTGGTTACAGCACCAAGGCTGACAGAGTTCAAGAAGTGTTTGGATTATACTCTCAGGCACAGGGTGCAACTCTTGGGGGTGGTCCTGTGCAGGGCCAGGGGTTGGACTCCATGATCCTTGTGGGTCCCTTCCAGCTTGGCATATTCTGTGATTCTGTAAGGTCTGGATATCTAGCCCACCTAGATGCCGTTATGATATTTTTAAGCACTTTTCATTTGATTTTATTCAGAACCAGAAGTACAGAACAGTGAACAATTGGTATTGCTCCAGACCACTAGATAATGAATGCATATGCCCATGAACTACCAGGGGCTGAACATGCCCAAGTCTCCCAAACATTCCCATTTTTGTCATCCAGTGCATATGCTCACATCATGTGACACAGAGTTGTAAAGAGCCCCACTGAGATCAAGATTCTGTCTGCTTCTGATCCTCGACTAAGGCACTCCTCTCTTAAAAAACTTTAAAAATGTTTTGGTCCCACTCAGAAATTACTTTTTGGATGAAGGAATTCCCAGTTGCTAACTGTGGTCTACTGAGAATTTCCTGAATCTGGCCCCACGCCTCAATTATCCCTCTAAACTTTACCATACTATTTGCCTGTCCACAATAGTACTTCACTAAATCCTTCTTCTGGCTCTGCTTGGTGTACAAGACATTGCACATAGTCAGGGTGTACACTTTACCCAAAATGCTTGGGCATTGAACCTAGGAAGTCTGAAAGAGTTGGGTACACTGAAGACCAGAATCACAGCTATAATCAGCAGAAGGCCACTGCCAATTGTCAGCTACCTGACTACTCAGAAAACAAACCCCTTTACACCTTAAGGAAGAAAACAGATCAGTCTTGGAAAAATGTTTAACTGTTTTATAATTTTCAGTTAAAGCAGCCATTCATTCAGCAAACTTAAAACATGGGTGCCCAAACAGACTGAGGAAATTTTACATAGATTTACTCAAGCATGGCATGTACTAGGATATTTGCAGCCAAAGCAATGTTTACCTCTTCTCTCTTTTTTTGGACCCATTCCTTGTGTTTCTCTTCAGCTATCCTTTTCCTCCTTTCACGTTCTTGCTTTTGCTTCATCTTCTCAAGCTGTATATTCATTTCCTAATTAAAGAAAAAGTATACCTCTTAAATCTGTGGTGACCATCTACGCCAACACTGGAAATAGTGCTGCAGTTTAAACAATGTAAACATTAGATTTTGATATTTTTCCTTCATTAAGACTTTGGAAAAGACAGATGACAGTCAATACAGAAATATTATGAAATACATTCAATGGAAATGTACAATTTTTAGAGCATTAATTGGAAATACATATTTTAATTAGGCTTTGGAAGCAAATCAATGGAACAAATCACTCCTCAGCCTATTGAAATGTACTGCTGCAGATTAAGATTCTGCTGACTGAAAAGACTTTTCTACAATACTTAAAATTTACATTGTGTAATGTTCTGCATTGTGGATGGTACCAAAAGCTAAGTGAAATATTACTCACTGGTGAGTTTTAGCACCAGAGCTACAGAAACCCAGGCTTAACCCAAAGCTCATTAAAACCAAAATTATTGCAGATTTTAGCAAACTTTGAAACAGGAGCTTTATTTTGAAGATGAGAGAAGAAATGCCCAAATATCTTTATATGACATACAGTATATATGTAATCACTTATGTATCCCCAGTGAAGTTAACTGATAAAGGAAAAACATGACTAAGAATACAGCTTGAGAAGTCTGGCTTCTCCAACAGGAGCATTGGCACAAAGTGCTCCTTTTCAATGAAAATTCATGCCTTCAAACATAGACAGATGGAATTATTTCCATGAAGCTGACTTTATGGTTCCTACACTGCAGCCAGTCTCAGAGAGAACCCCTTTATCTTATGAATTGAATTCAGTTTAGCAGGACATCAGAGGAGCCTACAGAAAGCTCAAATACCCACAACATATAGTGTGAAAATACAGCTGTTGCTGTACTGAGGCAAAGTTACAGCAAGTATCACTCCTTTGAGTTCTGAGACATCTGTGTTGCAGGGATCCTGGTTTCTGTAAAAGCTGATGGCATTATAATTACTTTAGAAGATCAAATCCACTATCCACTCCAAATGTTTATCTACATTTCTGACAATCAGGACGGACTTGTTGCTGCTGCCAGCAAAAGATCTGGGACTTCACAGTTGTTTCTTATGATATCAGTTTAGAATACTTTTCATATGCAGATGTACTAATAAATTTTTATATCACTATCATATACTTCATTGTCTTCTAGCATCTTACAAAAATGTTGATTGTGTTTTTTTCCCCCAAATATAAGCTTTTTGTGCTGCCTATGTTGCAGTTTAATACCTAATGTTTTCAAAATCTTAAATTAAAAATAAAACTTTTACCTATTCTACATGGTTTTAAGTAACGTTTGTCCCATAACTCCTCTTACTACATAGTTGAGAGACATCTGCTAGATTACATTTAGTATGGTGTAAATGTTATTGTGTGATACACAAGAATAAATTGTTTTGGTTCCTCATCAAGACCACATGAGAGGTCCATACACAAACCACATTTTCTACATAATGCCTAAAATTGCTTTGGCTCGTTTTTTGTACTTAAAAATCAAAACAGGGAAAGACAATTACCAAATTAGAATATAAAGGGGAAGTCAGGAAACACTGGGTGGATATTAATGGATCAGAACATATTCCTCAAGCTTAAGGAACTACTTTGGTGTTCTGCTGACCTCTAAAAGACTGTTCCAGAACCTTCCATCAGTAGGTGTTTTATAAATAACATGAGGTAGCCCACATAAAACAGTTGTATGCTATATGCACTTTACAGATAATCACAGAAAAGCTAGGGCACTGTTCAAGGTCAAACAGTAAATCAGTAACTAAAGTGAGAAATTATCTAACTTTGATGTGATTGTTCAAATCACTACCCAATACTTCCAGTTTGATTTTCAACACCAGTATCATTTAATCAACTGCAACTACAAACATATTAATCAAGAAAAGATATAGTGCTCTCACTTAATTGTGCCCCAGCCCCGGTATTCAAGAACTGTTCATTTGCAAGGGGGCAAAAGACAGAATGAGGGGGAAAAAATGCTGTAACAGGGAACCCTATCCTGGGAAAGGACACCAAACAGCTGTAAAATTACACACTAAGTGGGTAACAATACTGTGCCTCCAATCTAACCAAGGAGCTTGGCATCCTTACAGCCAGCACACACCCTGTTGTGTTTTACTACCTCCATGCAGGTGTATGTACCTGAGATGAAAATCGAGGTACCAATTCTATGTTTTAATCTTTTAAACTCGAACCATTACCTGACAGTTGGATAAGCAAAATACTACACAGTACCACTTCAGTGAAGCATAACATTTAGCAAAAGGGAATGCACATAACACGAATCAGGCCAGCACTGTCAAATGCAAACACAATTCAGGCCCAAGACATTAAAAAAAAGTGGACAACACTACTCATGTTTCCACAAAGGAAAAAAAAAACCCAGTGTTTCCTGTCTTCTATTAGATTTAACATCAAGTCAATCGGATGCATTCACCTCTTCAGCTCTAGCCTGGAAGCGGGCACGCAGTTCCTTCTCTTTGCCAATGAACCACTCTTCCCATGGTGACAGATTATCTTTCAAAGGTGACTCTTTTGTCCCCCCTACTATTTCAGAGTCTTCAGCCTTCCTGAATTAAAAATGAGAAACGTAAGGGAATATTATCTGTAAGGTATTGGATTGAAAGGTGAAGCAATGCTACTGTCTCGAAAACCTACTTTTATGGCATAATGTGACAACAATGACATCATTTCTCTACTTGCTCAGTAACCTCCTTAACTGATAAGTGGCATTTATAGTGAACCTCTGACCATCCCCCTTATATTCTACATTCTACTCGTTAAATTCTAGCCTGTTAGTGATTTCCCCACCCCTGGCACACCCTGTCCTCCCCTGCTCCAAACTGTGGGACAGATCTAATTGTTACCTTTTAGAACCTAAACAAAAAGAACACCAGTAACATCAAAGTGTCACCTTCCTTCTCACACATGGAAAACAAGGAAAAACATTAAAATTAACATCCTGTCCTTGCCTACAGAGAGGCTTCATGTATCAAGTGCCCTTTAGCACAAGCAAAGAAAGAGCAAGAATATTTTTTCTTCTTTCAAGTACCATCGAAGTGGATTCATGGCATCAAGCCATCTCAGCATTATGAATCCATTCACTTGAAGAGGTGAAGTTTTCCACCTTAAAAAGCTTTCACAGGAAACGTGCTTAAGAACTGCAGAAAGCATACAACACCTGATGGTATTATACAAGGTTCTACTAGACTTTTAAGAGAATACCTTACATAACTCACTCGTAACTTCTTTACTCACGAATAATGCAACAGTCCTAGCCCCAGGTCAGAAATGTCTTTTATAATATTCTATACACATACTATTTCTTAAGTAAGACAGAATAGTAGGCTCCAAGTCAACAAAAAATTGAAAACATGCCGATAGAAGAAATCTTTTAAAGAAATCTATCTGACATAGAATTTCTTCTTAATAACAAACAGTGACCACAAGAGTCCACTTTAGTATTTTACGTGGATGTATAGGCTCTGGAAATACCTACCTATATATTTACTTCACGACAGTGAAGTGTTTGCTGAATTTAAGCTACAAAAGAAGGATCCATTATGCTAAAGGCCCCAGACATAAATATTTTAAACATAAGATATCTGGGCTTTATCAGTATAAAAGTGTAACATATTCACAGGAAACAGCAATACTCCAACACTATGTTGCAAAACATTTTCTGTCCCAGTCATCTTTGGAATATATTTCTGCGACAGGAAGCATTTGGGGACGATGTCAACGCAAAGGAGTTTTGTCCTACTCCTCTCTGTTGTTTTACCCAGGTGTGTTTGTGCTAACACGACTGTTCGCTGCTCAGGTCATGACATGTTCGGGGGAACTGATTCACGCTCAAACTCACCTGGAAAAGGTTTGTTCCTCCTCACATCAGCCCCCAGCCCTCTTTTATACTGTGCTGCCACAGACACGTAGCGTAACAGAACTGACAGAGACACCCTGACACACGGACAGTGCAAGGACAGAGGCAGCACAGGCCAAACACTCCCAAGCCTGGCGTTGTCCAACACGTTCTGCTGCAGCGTTACCGAAGACCAAAAATTTAACACGTACATATAATAAGGGATGCAACTTAAGAATGCATAATAACACATTCTGTTAGACAACAACTCTCTGGAAGTTTATTAAATATAAGGATAAAAGTATTAGGCATTCAAATGCAGGAAAAAACCCACAACTTTGTACAGACTTGACATTTTGGGCAGGGATACTTCCTCAACACATTCTTTTGCTTTGCGTGATTTGCCTTATGGCACCTAGGACTAGAACAAGGCTGACACATTAAAGCAACCTTAGAAAAAGTACTAGGAGAAGGAACAAATTAAGAAAAATAACATTTGCTATGTGTTTTCTTGTATCAGTAATTATGAAGTTCAAGCTGTCAACTTCTCAAAAAAACGATTCACAGTAACAGATTAAAGATTTATTGTAGACAAGTAAGCATGAAGCTTCAACAGAGGAAAATACACTCAGTGTGAAGACCTCAGTATGAATTTAGGAGAAACACTTCCCCAGTACTGTGTCTCAAGCTCTCAGATTGCAGCAGAAGGCAGATACATTTGGCATTAGAAGTGAAGTCTGATTAATAGAAAACACTGTGATTACCATTTCCCATATATTCACTTAGGTCACACCATCAAACACAGCACTACTGGTCCATAACAAAAGCATGAAAATGCCTAACACCGTTTCACAAGGCCTTGTTTACATCCTTTCTCTTCTGTAAATATTGCATGTCCCACATTGGATGTCTACCTCCAGCTAATTTTTGTGTAGTTTTAGGAGGACAAGGACAACAACAAAAAGCTTCAGAGTACGTGCATACATAGAGAGGGCAGTGGCTATGTAAGAAGTGCTCTTTATTATTATACCTTTGAGATCCTGGCACCTGTACCTGGAATCTGCTCTGTGAACATGTGGTAGGCACTTAGCACAACGCAGCAGCAGCGTTACTCAGAAGTGATGTCTGTGTGAGTGAGGTGTACACTGTGCCCCCAGTTTAACGAGGCTGTGCTAACTCACACAGGCCCAAGAGAGGTCATCTTCAATTGAACCTTAGTGCTGCCAGAGAACACTGCAGCAACAGGTCCCAAAACTGAAAGCTGTTTCAAAGAGCATCTCAAGCTGTAAGGACATGCTGTAACTTGAACAAAGTGCTACTGAACTTCAAGGTAAGTTAACAAATTCCTTCTTGGGAAGAAGCAAATGGTGAGGTAACAGAAAAGCTGAAAGAGAAGGGACCATAAACTGGCTACTATCTTTTTCATTCCGAAGCTTCTGACTACGCTTCAACACGCTTTTCCTGAACTCTCAGTGCTTTTTTCAAGAAGTGCTTGTAAGCAAAGTTCAGTGTGGTTCATATTCCTCCACTGCTCTCCTTGGAGGTTTGAGAATCAGGCTGGAATCCCGAACCCTTGCCCCACCTGCACTTTTAGCTCAGTTCAGCCTTACTGATTACATTCACCACCAGCTAATGCACAAGTTTGTTAAGTTTCCACGGCAAAGGCTGTACTCCAGAATAAGACAGGCACTGCCTGCTCTTCCTCCTTCTGTTTTAAAGGGAAGAATAAGAATTATTTATTTTCCTGTCAAGCTGGTGAGATCCCAAATAAAAAGAAGATACGCTGCTAAGCTTGCATATGATTCAAAGGGAGTAAAATTAAACCACAGGAGAGGGCACTGTGCAATGCACACAGGCAACGCTGACTCTGGACACTGCTACACACACTAGGCAAAGAGGAGCCCTTTGGTCTCCAAGAGCTTTTAAAAGGATGACAGGAAAGGTTGCAGCTTTCTTATCCGGCAAAGACCCCGAGGCTCGGGTCAGCTGCTTGCAGACAGTTTACAAACCCCTAAAAAATACTCAGCTGCCCCCCAGGAAGACTTCCCAAGAAAAAAAACCACCAACAACCAAAACCAAAACAAACAAACAAACCAACCAAAACGGAACAGAGCGCTTAAAGCGCTCATCTACGCAAACAAGTCTATATTTATGTAAAATAATCCTCCGTCCCCAAGGTCTCCAGCGGAGGGCCCGGCGGGTCGCGCACGGGCAGCGCTGAGCTCGCTGCCGGAGCCCGGCCCCAGCCGCAGGGTTACCTATGGCCCGGCGGGCTCCGGGCGGCCGCCGCCCCTTCCTCCTCCTGCCCCTCCTCCTCCTCCTCACCGCTGGGGGAGCTGGAGCGGGACGCGGGGGACAGCGAGGAGCCGCCGGAGGGACTGGGGGGCTCCTCGCCCCCGGAGCCGGGGGAGCACGGCGGGCCGAGGGCAGTGTCCCCGCCGCTGCGGTGCCGGGCGCCGCCGCTCATGGCGGGGCGGCCCCTGCGGGAGCGCCCGGCGGTTACAGGCGCTCCCGGCGGCACCCGCGGCCCCGCCGCCCCCACAGCCCCCTCGGCCCCGCCGCCACGGCAACCGGGACGCGCAGCCCCGCCCGGCCCGGCCCCGCCTCAGCGCCGGGCCCCGCCTCAGTGTCCCGTCCGGTCTCAGTGCCCCGCCCGGCCTAAGCGCCCCTCCGGCTCCGCCTCAGCGCCGGGCCTCGCCTCAGCGACCCCCAGCCCCGGGCGTCTGCAGCGCGGTGCCTGACGCGCGATCTGTTGTGTGGGAAGTCTTCACACTTGTCCTTTTCTTAGTGATATTTTTGGGCGTGTACCAGTTCACTAAACGGGAACCAGCCGCCTCACCTGCGGGTGACAGCAGCAGTGTATCAGGAGGAGGCAGCTTAACGCTTGCTAACGGCCCGGTCGGAGTTTGTAGCCCGCACTTGTATTGAATTGCAAAAATCCCCTTTCGGTCGCCACCCTTGTTCTCTTGTTTTCGATTTAAAATTCTAAAGACTTTTGGTTTTCATACATCTCTGCTGGGCAAATGGTGTCCTTTCCCTTCTTGCCTCTCAGTTAATTCTCCAATGAGCAACAACTATCTGTTATAAATAGATCAGATTTTATATATATATATATTCCTATCCTTGTTTACCAGTAGATTTTTTTGTCAATATTCCAGTGTGGTTCCAAATCCCAGGTACACAGTCCCTTCTTCATTGCTGATGCTGGGCCACCTTGACCCAGGATCAGCAACAAACATGTATCACCAAAGCTTTTCACTGCCTTCAAATTTCATCAACCAAAGAAATAACTGCTGACTAGCAGTGGGCAAATTTTTATAAAACTTCATTGACTCATTTTGCTGTGGCTGACTAAGCAGAAGCATTACTGATATTAACACGAGATACAGAAGTTTGAAGGTGATTCTCCAGGTGTATGAGTTTAGCAAGAAATGTATTTTTAGTTGGATAAAGGTTGAATGTAAAAAATGCCCAAATGATCATAATTTGGAAATTTTAAGATGGGCTTTTTGGTTCTTGGGCTGCACAGCCACAGGCACCCCAGTCTATAATTTCTCAGCCAAAAGAGCTGCATCTCTCCTGTCTCTCAGGAGCACATACTTCTTCCTCCCTCTTGCTCACCAGACCCTTCACTGACCCACAAAACCTTACTAATGTAGTAGAAAACTCTTTGGCCAAGCAAACTCTTTCATCTGAGCAAGTTAAAGCTCAGGGATATGTCTGACATCTGCTGAGGCCAAAACCAGGCAAGCCCCAGGAATGCAGAGCCACAAACTGGAAGGGAGAGGCAGAGGTGACTTTCCCCTTTCAGTGGTGGAGCTTCTTAATTTGTCTTACCATTTCATGGGAACTGCAGTTTTGGCAGGTTGGAAAAATATCCTTATGGTTCCTGAAAGAAAAAAACCTAGATATTATCCCACCGCTGATCACATGTGCTGATAACCAGTTGATCATCTGGAATGGTTTTCCAGCAAGCTGAAGAACACCCACAAAAAAGGCCTGAATGCATCTCTGATCTAAGCATCCCCAGAATACTGACGACATCACTATGCAGCAAATCGCTGCTGATGATGCTGAAATAACTCCAGTCACTTACAGCAGATTATTTGATGATAATCAGGCTCAACAAAGAAGCAAGTGTGACTAGCCATGGTGTCTAACAAATGAATTACACCCATTAAAATAATTTAAAATCATTAAAATAAAAAAAAATAAAATAATTTAAGCTGATGACTTAAGTCTTGGAGACAACAGAATATCACTAGGACCTAAGTTTCTTGCCAGTTAAAGTTACAAGAAGAAGACAATTTCAAATTGGATTGAATTCTTAGGACACAAGTTACACAGTCCAGTGCCTCAGCTTTGTTAAACACTAACCACCTATGGTTTTACAAGAAGTTTTGTGTATGTGCCACACGCAGCTAAAAAATAAAAATAGTGTAAAAGTTGCTTACTCCATGGCTACATAAGCACTGCTAGCAAAGCTCCATTTCCTCCAAGCAGGAAAATTTCAAGTATTTCAACAGGTTGCAGATCAAGGTAATTTCAGGACATCTTAGGAAGGCTTTAAAATCTCCCCGATCTTAAAGCCTGTCTCATCGTGAAGACTAATAACACTCTTAAATGAATAGAAAAAATGTTGCCCCGTCTTGTGTCACTAAATTGAGGAATTCTGGAGCTCACTGCACTGGGCATCTCTCATTTCTGATGGAGGCCCACATCACATCATCTGGGATGGCCAGAAACTATGAAATGGGTGTCTCACGGCAAGGCAGCAGCAATCTTGCCAAAGACACAAACATTTGAGTCTGTCTCTTCCTTCCATATACTGTAATACGGATTAAGAGAATTTCTTAGGGTTCAGGAGCAGATATTGGGCAAATAGTTTTTATTAACAAACTTTAGCATTGTGACAAGCTGCCAGCATCGGGCAAGACTTCCCACAGAGAAGGTGCCAAAAGCCAGTTCACCTTATGGGGAATTAAAGCATTGCCACTGGAATGGCAGAAGCATCCAACTTTTAAGAGATGTGAAAGTATAAAATAATATTGTTATTATCCCTCATACTGTTCTGCCCAACTTGTCAAGCCACCTCCACAGCCACTGTGCCCTAGTTAACACAGGCAAGGTAAGAGCCCAAACAATGTGATTTAATAAAACACCAAGGATTGAAACAACAATCCTGCAGGTTCAGGTACACGACTCCTATGGCCATAGCAGGACTGAGAAGCGGGAAAACGGCATGTTACAAGGACAGTGCTTCATGGCAAATCCTTAATTCTGTGAACTGAGTGCCAGAAAGCATCTGCCCTGGTAAGAATTAAGTGCCAACAGTGCTAAAGCCCACAGGCAAAATCAAACTGCCACAGTGAAGCACAGAAGTTGCCGCAAACAACTGAGTGTAGTGAATAAATATATACACACATCCTACAGTTGATACCAGCGTGCAAAATCATCCTAATTTTTCACTAAAGAAACTACAGTCTTTCAGTGCTAACTGAACCAACACTACCACAGACTAATGAATAAGCAACAGGGAGTAAAATTCAGAGTAAACACAGCTTGATGTATTCACAGACCTATACCTTCTACCTGTTTGGTCATGCCAATCAATGTGTCTGAAGAGCCCAATGCTCCTGGCAAATTTCTCACAAGTACTCCCTAGCTGCCATCCACAATATTTGAGAAAACCTTTTATGCAGAAAATATCAAGAAAGCAATTTGACAGGTAAAAGACATAGAAATGAATTAAACTCTAGGCACAAATCAACTAGTCTGAATCACTAAGTACCTTGAAATGCCAACTCCTCTTTATGAAATACTTCGATTTTAGAAATTCAACTGTAACATGATAAACAATCTCTGAAAACACAAAAGCCAGCAGAAGGAAACTTCTCAGTTCAACTTGATGAATACTACCCAGATTTAATGAAAAGAATCAGATCAGATGTAATGTCTAGTTCCACACTTTTATTCAGGAACATAGAAACATAAAAATAATCCTGTAGGAAAAAAAATTACTAAATTTAGACAGAAACAGAGGTTTAGACAACATGCCTTAAGCTTGAAGAATACAGATCCTAATTTTACTTGCAACCTTAAAAAGAGTAGAAAATTTGAACCAAATATAGATGAATTTAAGAAGTTTTCCCAAGTCTTCCAATTTTCCACTTTGATAAAAAATAGTGTGGCAGGCATGGGAGTGAGGGAGAAACTTGGCTCACACTCCATGTCAGAGCTGAACAAGCACTGCCTACACTTGTCTGCTGGCTATTTTTGTGCCTGAATGTGTAGTTCTGCTTGATTAGAGGCTGTGAAACCTGAGAGGTCCTGGATTGCTTCACTTCCCTTGGCAGTACGGTGTATTCCCGTCGCTGCAGTACACTGCACACACCACTAGTCCCAGCCCAGGTTCTGCTGACTGCAGATGTGGAGCCATCTCTTCCAAGGAGCAGGGCCTTGAGATGAGAATTTTTCTCTTGTTATTTTAAAATCACACCTTTTTCAATCACTGGCAGGATTCCCACTCAACCCAGCTGTTTTATGTGAGTTGGAGATCACAGCCCTCCTGCTTTTGAACAGCCTTCACTTCTTTAGCTAGTTTATTCTTCGGCATAAAGTCTTTCTTTTAAAGCGTCAGATAGTAACAGATTTACTTGCTCATTTTTGGGTTGAAATTTTCAAGACACAGGTTATGCTTTTGTTACTGGAAATCAGTGAGACCACTTCATATTTTGTTACCCTCAAATCAAAATAATTTCCCTACAGCAAACACCACAGTGACCACTAACTAGTATTCCTAAAGCAAAACCTAAATAATTATATTTTATATTACTGCAGTGCCATGAAACATATGAGTCCATTCACCCTCCAAGTTCTTAGAGTACACAACAGTACAGAAACCAGCAATTTGCGATGTATTACCTCATTTTAGATTTCATTTCCTTATTTATTGAATCATCTTCAACTGACATCTAGTGCTAAATCAGTCAGACTCTACAGTACAATATGTAAAAGGTAATATTAAAAGTCTCCTGCTAAAAAATAAACTTATGCTACCAGTAAAAGATCAAAAGCATTTATGAAATTAAAAATTATTGAGAGTACATATGAAACAAACGCTGCATTGAGCTTTTAGTTAAAAATACTACCCTGTAAACTAAAGCTGAAGGCTTAAAAACAGTAGTCAAAGTGAAAAGAATTACTGAGGTATCTTTGTGTAAGTCTGAAATTTCTGGGTAAATTTATGAACACAGGAAATCCTACTGGAAAGAAATGAAAAGAGGCAAAAGGACTCTAGACAAAAAAGTTGCAAAGCAGATGCATAATTTTTGTAAGAAAATGAAAATGCTCGGTTTCCCCACCATACTGCCATGGAGCAGGCTAATAGCCATAAGTAAGAAATTACTCTTAATGGGGGAAAGGTTGGGAATACCTTTGGCAACACTATTTGTGACTCTGTCTCCCTGCAAAAAGCTGCTTCCTCACAAT